TCTTTTTTTTTGGGTGATGAAGGAGGTGTAGTTTTTACAGTCTCCCCTTATCCCCCAGGCCTTCGCTGGGTTCTACTACACCTTCCACTTCCTGAACCTGACCCACCAGCAGTCTCTAAGTCACGTCAACTCCACGGTCCAGACCTTCTGCAGTAAGAACTGGACAGAGGTGAGAGCCCTGTGAAGGGCAGCAAGAATCCCTGTGCTTGTTCTATCCCAAATCTCTGCCCAGGAACCATATGCCCTGCTGTTCCCTGGGCCAGGGAGGGTTCCTGAGCATCTGTTTCATTCCCTGTTGCACCATGTTCCCCGATGGCCCCACAGCTGGTGGAGACCTTCCCGCAGCAGAAGGGGTACTTGCACACGTACTGCTCAGTGGCGATTTACATCTTGACACTGCTGCTTGATGGCTACAAGTTCAATGAACACACGTGGAGCAGCATCCACTTCAGCCGGCAGGTAAACACCCTGCAGGGCAGTGGGAGCAGGCAGGCAGCTGCAGCTGCATCCTTGCCCTGGCCCAAAGACACATTCAGGAGCAGCATCACTGGAATCCCCTGTGCCAGAAATGTGTCCCCATCTCACGACTGCCACCCAGTGATCCCAGCACAGCTTCACTCTTATGTGCCACCAAACCTCTGACGCCAGTTTGTTTCTCACTTACTCTGGTGTGAACTTAAGCTAATTTTAAGGGGGTCAGAGGAGTGCAGACCAGGATTTGGCCACTTTGGTCTCTGATGTTGGGCAGAACTGACTTGAGCATCAGACAGGTGATGGTGGCCCCATGACACATTTGAACCACAATATGACCAAATTTAAGGGACCATGGGGGAGGAAGAAAGCTCAGATCCAAAATCATGTGTAGGTCACAGAGACACATCTGGACCGCAGCAGTCATCCATGTTCAGCTGCCCTTTAGCCCTTGGGAAGGGTGGAGAGGGAAGCTCTCTGTGTTAACTGGTGCTGGTAAGATCAGGTTCACCACAGCCAGGTCCACATGTGAAATCACAGCTGGGACAGCTCATGGGAGACATGCCCATCAGTCCCTTGCACCAAAGCTATTGGTGCCTGGGAGAAGGCACCTTTAGATGATCTTTGCTTTCTCACCTCAGGCAGCAAACACGGACATCGGCTGGACACTGGGCTTCATGCTGAACTTCACCAACATGATCCCCACAGAGGCTCTGGAACATGTCAAGGGGCACCAGCCCAGTCTGTGGGCAGGTGCTGTCTCCTTCATTGTGCTGGCCATAGTGGCAGGCCTGGTGGCCATTTTCCTCCACTGTTTCTGGAAAACCAAGTAACTCCCAGCCTCCTGACTAGAGGTGTCCTGCCCACTAAACCAGGCAGGGAAGTTGTGCAGAAGAAGGTGGAAAGGGGAGAATAATGAGGGCATTAGACCCATCTCCATTGCTCAGGAGGTCTAATTGGGTCATCTCTGTAAAGATGTCAAAGTTGCCAAAGATGTCTTGAGCTCCCAAGTAAAGACTCCTTTAATCTGGCTGACAAAAGCTGACTGAGACTTGGTGGCTAGATGAAGCCAGATAAATTCAAACTAGAAATAAAATCCTTTTTGTTTTTCAAGTACAAAAGTCACTAACCAGCCTAGCACAGTTTCCTTGGCACTTCCAGTCCTGCTGGGCTGCTTTCCCCGCAACTATGGGAGGCAACTGGTGATGGCAAGCAGTGGTGGCCACCTAAACTCTGAAGAGAGGGGTGACCTTATCTGTGTCTTGCCCTCTGCAAGATATGCAAGATGTCTGTTGTATGTGACAGAATACCTTCCCAAAGACACTGTCAGCTGTGTCTTTACTGGCATATGTCAGCAGAAAAATACAAGTGGAAGTTGATTTAAGAGCTGCCAGCTCTGGCTCAGGGTTTATTTTATATTCAAGTTACACAGCCCAGCTTTGTCAGACAAATCCATAGCAGGTTCCAGCTCCAGGCACTTGAGTGTTTTATTTAGATCAGCAGAGCCCAGCACAACATATCTACAGGAACCGGACAGTCATTTTAGTCCTTCCAGCTCCAGCCACCAGCCCCGCGCCACACTGTCCAGCCATCCCTCTCCCCAGCCCCTCCAAGGCTCTGCCAAAACCCAGGACTGGTCTGAGCAGGGGTGTTTCCACAACTACCTCTTCTCTGTGCTGCAAGACCCCTGCCCACACAGCATGAAGCAGTAACATCCAGGCAGGACTTCAGAAAAGAACCAAAGGCATCTGGGCTGAGAAGTGCTCAGAGCCCTTTGGTTCTGGCAGATTCATGGGGTATTTGCTGTGGAAGAGGATACATGGCGGTCCTAACCCAAGGTGCTATCCCGTATACTCCGCTGCAAACTGTTTACAAAAGCCTTCCGAAAGAGCAGCATCTCTCTCTCTGGTGGAGATAAGGATATGTGGTCCAAGGGCCTGGAGAACTGGGCTCTGCCTCCTGCTCACAGATGGCTATCCTTGGCTTCATTAGAATGAGGCTCAGCCTTCCCAGCCTGAACTTGAGCAACAAGGGAGAGGGGTGAAGACCTCCATCCAGAGGAACCTCTTCCCACCCAGCAGTCTGAGCCCCTGAGGTCTGAGTTGCCACATGCACATTTCCCATAGCCAAACACAAGATCCCTCCCCCTTCTCTGTGCCCTGCACAGGCACATCTGGGAACAGGCTGTAGAAAATGCTGTTGGACTGCTGGAACTGACACCATGATGCGATCTGTGAGTGGGGGACATTTCCTAATTCAGCAGAGCTCCTGGCTGTGCTGACTGTGACCCGAATGAGCCGGGACTGGTGTCTCCTACCCCTGGGAGACAGTGCAGTTGGGCAGGAAAAGGCTCCTGTTTGCTATAGGAAGGCAGCACCGCAACCGGTCTGGGTTGCGAAGCATTTGGGGAAGATGCCAGTCTTGCCATTGCAGCGTCCTTCAAGCCAGTCATCGTTCACTGGGAAAACATAAAGGAGCAAGATGAGCCCTGGCCCATATAAGTGGGGTTAGCGAGAGTTTTCATGGCTGGAATTTAACTCTGGGCAAAACCCAGTGCAAGCCTGTACCTCCTGAGTGTATGAGCTTGAGACAGTATTGGAGAAGCCATCTATTCCCCAGACCCTCCCTACAGCAGACTCCAAAAGCCTGCCCCAGTATAGCCTGCAGGCAGGACTGGAAAGCTACCTTCAGAGAGAATATCCAGCACATCTCCCTTGCTGAACTCCAGGTCCCCCGGTCCCTGTGCAGGGTAAGAGTGCTGAGCCAGCATCCGGTAGAGGACAGGTCTGCCCAAATAGGAGTCCGAGTCCTACAGGAGAAGTCAGCATGGAGGTTGTAAGGCAAAGCAAAGATTTGAGTCCAGCACAGCAGAGAAGCTTGTCACAGCCCACATACCTGGCAGCAGAGTGTCAGCCTGCCATCTGTCAGCTGCTGCCACATCTTCCCTAGATCCTCTTCTCCCGAAACTGCACCCAGTTCTTTGCCATCCGAATGCCTGTAGCTGCAAGGGTTCATTAACATGGCTCAAATCATCTCACTTAAAGCCAAACTTTGAGGCAAGCCTAGCCCTCTAACATCTTCAGTCTCTCAAAGTCCCCTTTGTAAGCCAGCTTTGAGCTTGTCACCTTGCACAATGATATGGGGCCACCCTGCATGCTTAGTGGGCAGAAATGGCACTGTCAGGGAATGACTGTCACCTCCTCACATACTTACTTGAGGGGAAGATCCTAAACTCTCCTGATTACACTGACTGTGTGCCCCCAGGGATGTCACAGTCAGGGAGACCTCACCCCAGGACTAAGTCCCAGATTGCTCTGCATTGATCCTAGTGTATCTCAAAGGCTGAGGTGAGCAGGAGAAAGTCCAATATACAGAAGCTGCAGCTGCACAGTGTTTTTCCTTCTGTTCCCCCATTTCTTGAGCATGGTACAGTTTCCTGGGAAAGACCCTTTAGTCTCCAAAGCCCATGGATCATACACTGTTCTCAAAACCAAGACCCATGGTAAGGTTAGCCCTGCAAGGAAGCCTGTGTGCTCACATCTTTGCTGAATCTCTGCTAGAGTGCTTTGACCCCAATTAAATGTTCCCAGGAGACCAGATGCAGGTCTGTATCCTCAGGGGAATGGCTGCTGCTGCCCTGTCACACACACTCATGCACTGAGAGTGCTGGAGGGCCCGGCTATGCCACAGCATACCTCAGCTTCCCTCGCTCTGCCTGCTGGCCGAACCGCTCCCTCAGCAGAGCTCGCAGGTCCAGCAGAGACGGCACCTCGCCTGCCCTCACCACCACAGTGCACTCACAACACGCCCTCAGCACAACAGGTCTGTCCATGCTGGATGAAGCTTCTCCACGGGTTGGTGGGATCTGCTGAGAGATTGGCACCATGGACAGTCTGGTTATTCAGGACTCTTATATCAAGAGAGGTGAAACAGACACAATCTCTTGTCTCAGGGGTACCATGTAATGGTAGTGCAGCATCAAAATGCAGATCTGAATTTCAGAGGGGGAACTACAAATTCAAAGCCTGGGATCAAATGCTCCTCCCATGGCCCAGGAAGCCTGTTTCTGGGTCCAGTCGCACAGATACCTCCCAAACCCAAATATCTGTGTGTAGGGCCCCAATTCCTCCAACTAGCTGGAGAGGTGCAGCCCAGTCACCACATTCTGCTGCCTGCTGTCTGAAGTACAGCTGACAAAAAATTACTCCAAAAGCCCTACAAGGAAGGGTGGCAAAGACAAAGGGAGCAGAGGTGATCTGCAGCTGGCACTGCCAGAGAGGTACTGTCCCCAAGTGGACACAGGATCGATTCTAGCTCCATCACACACAGTGGTTGGTAATGACATGGAGGTGCACCAGAGGACATCATCCCAGAAGAATGCAAATATGAATGAATTGTGGTACCCAGACTGACAGGGACAGAAAATGCCATACAGCAGGAGGGGGAAAGGGACAGCAGGTAGTTCAAAGACAGCTCTCTTGCAAAATGGGCTGTAAAGTGCATGCCTCTAAAAATGTTGCTGTCTCTCGGACTCTTGGTTCCTTGGAAGGTACAAAAGGGCACTGCCCTGGTAAGCCTCAACCTCAGGCTGCCTCACAAAATTGTATGGTCACAAACTTGGGAGTGGTGGAGGAAAGACCACATGGGAGCCTCTCTTTGGAATGGGAAAATGGGCAGAGGAAGAGTTTTTTCCAGTGATGTTGGTGCGGCTCAGGAATTTTGGAGGATCTGGCTAGGAATCTTGGACTTTTCAGAGCCTTGATCTCTTGAGGCTGTGCCAGCTTTGGCTTGTGAAACACCTTACCCTGAAGTCCATTTGGGCACCAGCATCATTTGCAGAGGCATCTTCTCCCCCAGGAGATTCTGCAGAACAAAACAAGAACAGAGGAATAGTGCCTGCAGTCAGCAGAGGCCCCCAGTAGCTCTTCTGCAAACTGATAGCACACATGCAGCCACAGCTGCAGTGAGCAACCAGCCTCCCCACACACCCCTAAAGCAGGGGGGTTTGGGCACAGCTTCACGTAACACCCACTGAAGTCCCTGGCTTGGGGGACTACCTGGCTTCTGCTTCACATGGAGTCGGCTGGGAGGCACCTGGGCAGGGGGGAGGGGAATCCCATTGCTGATCTTCTGCAACAGAACAACATCAGAAAGGAGTGAGCAGAAGACACTGGAGATTGGGCAAGGCTGGTGTGCGTGACAGAGGCTGCAGCCAGTTATAAATTTCTGGGTGTAACCCCAGAGAGCCACAGGGAGACCAGTTGATTAACTGGCTGGATGAGGCAGAGCACTCCAGGCTCTCAATGGCCTCTGTAGCTCTTGTGGACAGCAGGGGTGATGAGAGATTTGGTGGGACATTTTCTTGGCCTCCTGCCCCTTGTTGAGTAGGTGCTGGAGCAGAGGGAGGTTGCTCACACTGCATTGAGGGCTCTCCCCACCATCTGCTGGCTCGCTTGGGAACTTGGGCTGGTTCACAGTGAAACATCCGTGGAGCAAATGCCCAAATGTATGCTATGGCCAGGGATTCATTTGAGGGGGGGAGGGGGGGCAGGGAAAAACCCAAACACAGCAACATCAGAACAACCATGTCCTTCAGAAATCTCTCACAGGAAATAGGGGTCTGAGTTGCACCTTTCCGCACTGGGTTCAGATAGAAAATGATCTGGGTCATGTGTGGACGTGCCTGTGGTGGAGATGGGAGATAAAGGAAGTTTTCCTAAGTCAAAGGTGAGGCTTTAGGGCTTAGGCGCATGGCCTCAAGGCAAAAAGTAGTGCCTGTTTAAGATATTACTATCCCACTGCAGATTAACCTGCTCTCTGCTGGTGAACATGTGAACACTCCTCACCCACTTCTGTGCTACATGTAGTGGCTGCAGACATCACAGGAGCAGGCTGGACAAACACACGCCTCAAGCTCTCAAACTCCTCATTGTGTTCCAGTGGCTCAACAAGTTACAGGGGTTCAGGAGAGCTGTGGCAGCTGCTCATCTTTGTGTACTCCATCAGCCCACAGCAAGTAAGAGGCAACACCACCTAGATTAGCCTGTGATGCAAGCCACTGTGGCTTGGATACGTGTCTAAGCTCCCAGATGTTGCTCTAAAGAGATCTGATGTACAGAAAAAAATAAGCATTTTTCCTGCTCTTAACTCTTCTGTTGTTCCAGTTCAAGAGCACTTGGTCTTCGCTCAAGATGTCTAAGCTGAAACACTCTACTTTTCTCCTACACAGTTGTTCTATCCTGTGATAATCTTACAAAAAAACGTCCCAAATGTATTTCTTGGTTCCTTCCTCACCCCTGGTTGCAAGGTTGTCAGCTCACCCATTTGTCCATCTTTGAAGCAGGCTCCAGGAGAGAGCTCGGTATGCGCAGCTTCTGCAGAACGCAAAGCAGAGCAGGGTGAGACAGGAGCTGCTGCTGCGGCAGACGCAGCTCCAGCCCACCCAGTTCCATCTTCTGTTAGCCCCACTCTGCACTGCTTCTGCCCTTGTGAAACACCGCTGCCTGCTCACCCTACTGCAACACAAATGTGCCCATGGAGGCAGGGCACAGGGTCAGGTATGGTAGCCCATGCGGTTTGTGGTCAGAAATTGATGAACAAAATCCAAGGGTCTTTTTGCATCTTCTTCTGCTGAAAGTAGTGGTGCTAATTGAGTGGCTGCAATATAACAGACCAAACACCCACCAAGGGTGGATGCTTAGGAAGAAAGCAGCAAGGATGCTGAGGGATACCAGACCAGCAGCATTTCTGTGTCTTCTGACAACCACTGCTATAGAGCTATTAATTTCAACTGATCACTGTGAGTAATTATGCTTCCCCCCCAACCCTGTCCATTATTTTACTTTTTTTGACTTTGAATTTCATCTGACACTTCACTGAGCAGTCAACCAGCACATTCAAATACTTCTGTAATTGTTCACTGTTAGCTCCAGATTCTTCAGGCTATGCTGCATGGTTTGATTGTCTGTCATGGAACATGGTCACCTTAAGAAGCACTATATCACTATCCCTATTACTATATCACTTAGGAATATGCCAAAAAAGGAAAGAAAGAAAAACCTGTTCATTTATGCCCATCCTTTATTTCTATATTTTAACCTGTTATCAGTCCTCAGAGCACTGCCTCTCTTGCTCAAACAGCTCACTGTTTTTTTCTAGTGGCCTTGCAAAGAATCTTTTGACTTTTTTTGGAAACAGGGGCAGATAATACATTCACTGGCTCAACCTAATCCACATATAGATTCTGTCAACAAAAGATTTTCCATGTTGTCATATTTATCTGTTTCTATTCAATCTGTTTACACTATAGTTCCCTAGTCTGCAGAAAGATGTCAGATTTGCTGGGCTTTAATTCCTTAGGTCTTTTCTAGAGCCCTTTATAAAACCTGCCTGCACAGCTGAAACCCTCCCAAGACCTCTCCGAAGTTAATTTAACAGAGGCGCTACACACCAGGTAAGGACCAACCTGTCTCCTAGGCTCCGGTAGAGCTCTCAAGTGACAAACACTGCTCTGAATGGTGGTCCTTGGTGAGGTCTGTTATCCTACATGATTCCACAACAGGATCCTGTATGGTGGAGAGCGCAACTGCCCAAAAAGATGCCCTTGTGGAGCTACAGAGGTGACTGGCAAAGCTTGGTGGGAGCCAAGTGTCAGAGAAATCTATGGTTAGCAACTGGTCTGTGGAAATGAGCTCCTGAACTCATCCTCTGCTCTGCAGTGCTACAGGTGGGTCCCCAAGGAAGGTGCTCAGGGGGTTGCAGCAAGCTCCTGTTCACAGGCAGAGCTGTGGTCTCTGCTGGTGGGGATGGGCTGGAAAGCCCACCCATTTTCCTTACCTGTCCATCGTGTATGGCTGTAGCCCAGCCATCCGCTCCTCTCGTCAGCACAAAGACCAAACTGCTGGCTTTCACTGCCAACTTCTCAGAGTCCTCAGGGTAATAATGGGACAAAACTCGATAGTACCCTGACTCACTGTCTCTGGAAAGAAAGAATGAGAGCACCTTTACTAACCCTGGAGTTCTGGTGCTGGATGGCTTTGATCCAAAACACTGCACTGATCCAAATTAGCATGTGCCAAATGTTTCAGGTGTTGGGAAATTATGTTTTCCATTGCTAGTCTTTGGTCCAACTGGGAGCTTGGAAAACACTCATTTCCCAAATGCAACTGCCCCATTTTCAGCATACTAATAAACGTCCTCCACAACAAAACAATTATTAAACTCAGCCCTGAAATACTGTTGGTACAATAATCACCAAAACAAATTACTTCCATGTTTTTTGAACCAGGCCTGATTTTAGCTCAAGACAGCATGTCTGGGAGTGAGCATTTGGAGGCCTTGTCCTGAGAACTAGGATGGGACAGCTGAGCATCCTCTGCCACTGACTTGGGCAGGCCCCACAACCTCTCTTTGCTTCCATTCCTCAGCCATGGCATGATCCATGCCTGTCTCCCAAGACTATTGAATCAACTCCTGCAAACTGCCCTGAGATTCTTGCATGAGAGGTGCTACTGAACTGCAGTGTCTTTTGCAGCCACACAAGCATCTGCATATTTGTCATTCACTCCACCCTTGTTAAGAAGTGGGTGTGGATCCCACAGAATCTTCAGACAAAGACATCAGAGAACAAAACATGACCTTCTGAATGGAAATAGTGAGAGAAGAGTTAGACCAGGGTGGAACTGAACACTTACCGCAGAGCATCAACACTGGGTTCATAAAAGCCCTGTTTCTGTGGGGAGAACAACAGCATCTATTTATAACAGTACCTCATACAGCAACAGTGTCACCTTATTTACTATCCCTCTGAATACCACACTGTGGTATTTTGTCTTCACTTTTGACCACATTTGTCATACCACAGCACTCAGATAGAAGTCTGCTGCTCCACACCTTACCAGGATGTGCCTTCTATTTCTCCCCCTCCCTCTTTATCCCATCAGGAGGTGAGTAACAAAATCTTTTCCCCTATGCTTTGTTCTAAGAAACTTATATTACAGTGCAAGCCAGCCATGCTTATGCTGACAAATTTACTAAAGTGCTGGGCAAAAGCACGTTGAGCATAGCAAAGTCTCCACTGCTATTCGAACATGGAGAAGAGACAAAAATTCATCTTCAAAGGGCTGAGTCCCTTCCAGCCAGTGCTGAAGCCCACCACCTGGCTTTGAAAGGCCCTGTGGATCTAGTCTGATATTGCACTGTTTTTTTCAATAATATGTTCTTACCCTCGTAGTGTTAGGATCTGAGGCCCTATTTGGAGCTCCATGACAGCTCCGTTCCTCCTTTCACAGCTATGTCCTGCTCACCTGAGGCCTGAGAGGCTCGAAGCCAATGTACTCATCATTGGGAATGATGGACGAGATCACCTGTCAGAGGACAAAGTAATGATTGAATCCAGGCTGGATGAAGAGACTCTCAAACTTCATGCAAGGTTACCTACTCAGACCTATTTCCTTCTGACATCCTAAAGTCAGACATAAAGTAGAGCTATGCACATAGTGGAAAAAGCAGAGCTGGATTCCTGTCCTGGTTTTGGCTGGGATAGAGTTAATTTTCTTCCTAGTAGCTGGCATAGTGCTGTGTTTTCGATTTAGTATGAGAATAATGTTGATAACACACTGACATTTTAGTTGTTGCTAAGTACTGCTTACACTAGTTGAGGACTTTTCAGCTTCCCGTGCTCTGCCAGGTGCACAAGAAACTGGGAGGGGGCACAGCTAAGATAGTTGATCCAAACTGACCAAAGTGGTATTCCATACCATATGACATCATGCTCAGTACATAAACTGGGGGGAGTTGCCTAGGGGGCAGCAATTGCTGCTCAGGGACTGGCTGGGTGTCAGTCGGTGGGTGGTGAGCGGTTGCATCACTTTTTTTTTTTCCCCCCATGGATTTTGTTTCTCTCTCTTGCTGTTCTCCTTTTCATTAAAATAATAACAATAATAATAGTAATAAAAATTGTATTTCAATTATTAAACTGTTCTTATCTCAACCCACGAGTTTTTTTTACTTTTGCCCTTCAGATTCTCTCCCCCATCGCACCTGGGGGGAGGGTGAGCGAGTGGCTGTGTGGTGCTTGGTTGCCAACAGGGGCTAAACCACGACAGTTCCCAAAACAGCTTCAACTGTTGCTGTCCCTGTGTTTTTAGTCTTTCCAAGGTTTCTTTAAAAGTACATGAATGAATCACTTTCCCTTTATTCACATCAGAGCTCTCTGGCCTGTGGCACTTCTGCTGACTGCACTAGTCACAGAAGGGATCAGAGAAATTCACTGACTTGCGTTAAAGGGAGACAAATGCTTCATCATGTCCAAGTGCCTGCCTGTCCCACCAGGAATGCAGCAGTGAGTAGGAGTGTGCTGGAGGAATGTGCTCCGCTTGAAAATTTTGTTGTCAGCAAAAGGACAACCATGGGGTTCCCTAAGTATCTGCTCAGCTTTTTCAGAGTTTAATGTGACCAAGATTGGGAAGGTTTTTTTAGCACCGAAGTACAGTTTTGACAGAAGAGGTGGCAATTCTTACAATTTTCAGCTTCTGTGTCCCAGATGCCTTGACTGGCTGCAAGCCCTGACAATCCTACTCTTGGGTCTCCACCAGTGGAACAGCCAACAGTAATGCTCTCTGGAGATGTCAGAAGGTGGTACTTTAATCTGCTCGCTGTTAATCTTGACAAACAATCACACGCCTGTTACCTTGGGTTTACCCAGGAAATCTTTTGAATCCAGCTGTTCAACTTCCTTCTTTCGCGGTCTGAAAAATTCCCCAAGAGGGACCTGCATGGGCTCTAAAAACAGATGGTCCTAGGGCAGGGAAAGCAGATAAGGGAAAAGCCATCAACTAATATTAAATGAAATATAACAGCAGTGAAAAGGAAGTATAGCTTCCCTGTGTGTGCAAGATCAGCTCCAGGAAGACACTGGGGCAAAAATTATGGCTGCGAACTTGAAAAAGGTCACTCAAGTTTAACAAGCACATACAAACTAAGAGCTCAGAAGCCACTACCCAGTGTTGAGTCAAAGACTAACGCTGTTGCATGGGAAGGGAGGCCAGTGGAGTAAGTTTTATTAAACAAATCTCAGCATTTTTTCTACTTGACTTCAAATGTTTATTTCTCCTCTGTTCAAACACTGAGTAGCATGCTAATAGCAAATATAAATAATACACTAATGTAAAGCACAAACATGATGCAGGAAGAGATGATTAGATTTAAAAAAAGTGATCATTCCTTAGAATGATTACAAATAAGATAAGGAAGTATGAAGGTAGTAAAATAATGAACCCTCCAGGAAGAGTAAATCAGAGATCTGCAAGTTGTTCCTGGTCATAAAAGAGTCTAACAAGAAACTATTATTTAGAACCAACCCTGGAAACAACTTTTATGCTCTACTTAAGCTCTAAATGTGATTGTCATTAAAATCTGAGCTGCCACCAATTGTCACTGAGGCCAAAGGGACTCAAAAACGTCAGCCAGTATCACAAAAAGGAGACCCTCCAAATCTGCACTTAAACACTGCATAAGGCAACTTGTTTTACAGTACAAGTACAAATAGAACTAAGCTCCTAAACAGCAGGGACTAGAAAGTAAACTCCCCCACCTGAGGGGTTATCCCATAATTCTCCACTATGGTGTTTCTGTGGTATAAAGCACCTGGGGGTGATAGAGTTACTTGATCAGCTGAAGCACTAGTTTGGTAGAGTCATCACATGCAAATGGCTTAGACTCTGTTACCAGGTCACCAAGCAGGTAGGTAGACAGGAAAACCCAAAAATACAACAATTAGCACATTCTTATCTCGTATTTCTTAAGTTAAGCCCAATGCACATACCCAGGAACTCATACAGGTGGTCTTACCTGCACCCGCTCAAGGGCCAGGTTCAGGATTGCTGTTCTTCCTTCAGGTCTCCATACAACAGCCTTATCTAGGGTGACTCTGGCCTCCTGCCACTGCTGTAGCCGGCACTGTGCTGCTGCAGTGCTGTACAGCACCTGGAGCAGGCAAAGACGGAGCAGAACTCAGAGGGCTAAGACTGAGCAAACACCCAACACGACTTACTGAACTCAGCCAAGAAACAGGGACCAGGCACTGAAACACCACAGATATAGCAGCAGAACTAATCTACTACCCACTGGCCACGGGAAAGGCACTCTGAGCAGCACAGCTGAAAAAACTTCACAATCAGAGCGGAAAGAGATCTAAGTTGTACCTCCAGGCTAGGTCCTGGGTGAGCTAGAGCTGCTAGCTCTGCTCAAGGCAAGGAGAGTCATGGGGAACGCCAGACGAAGGCTCTAGTACCACACGTTTTAATCTTACCTTTCCTGCACCTGAAAGGCCAGTAAAGATTTTCTTGGCAAGTTGCATGGGGTTTTTTCTGTATGCAACTAAGTAATATTTTTTTGCTGTGCAGAGTAATTCTGACTCCCTTTCACTGCAAAATAACTTAAATGAAACTATTTCACATTGTAGTGGGCTGTGAATGTGCAAACTGTCAGCTGTAGCTTGTTACCCTTTAACAGCTTGTATGTTCAGTGGTGAAGTAGCAAAGTGTGGGAGGATTACAGACTGGGTTTTGGGAAGCCTTGATCTATATGCTGAATTAGGAGTGGGAGGTCTCTTCTTGTCACTGGCCAACAGTCAGTGTATGGAAAAGCTGCTGGCGTACAAGGCAGAAGTGTGGCCTAACAGAGTTAATGTCAGATATGTTGCTATCTTATACGATAGGGTTATCAGCTTGTAAATTGCTTTGTAGTATCTGGATGCAAGCAGTGCTTGGGACAGAGGTGTAGCCAATAGGATGCTTTCCCTTCACTTCTTAAGCATGACAGTAGAAGACTGCTCTTTGGGGGGTGGGGAACAGCCATCCTGAACATCTACAGGAACTGCAGAGGTGCTCCCCCTTGGAGAGGCAAGGCAGCAGTTCTCACTCAGCTCAGAAGTGCTATAGCCTTGCAAGAGGCAAATATTTCTGCATTTTCAAACCACACAGCACATGTCCTCCCCTTGAGAAGATCAGATGCAGCATGTGAGAGACCAAGCAAGGGGAAAGCTGATGGCGCGCTTCTGCAGGAGGATTATGTTTGTGTATTTTGAAAAATGAGCTGCAGGTAGATGTAAGAGCAAGACACAGTTGAATCAGGATGCAAATCCTGAGTCCAGAGTGCCAGCACGGTGAGCACACATGTCCTGGCAATGCCTAGAGTATGTGGAGCGAGGGCCTGTGTGTTCACACCAGAAAGGGTACCAACCTCCTCCCGATGGCCTTGGGGCACTCCTACAGCCCTGTACCTTTCAAAGGGAACCTATTGTTTCTAAGTGTGTGTGAGCTCAGAGAAGGCAGTGCTGTGGCACTGAAACCGTTAAAAACAATGAGGTTTAGGTAATACCACAGATGCCAAGGATAGCTTCTTCCTGCCAGGTATAAGGTGCATGAAAACCGATCGAGACTGAAGGACAGGTTTCTGGGCATGCTTGACTTGAGTTACACAATGACCCAGTGGTGTGGACTCAGGACAGAAGACAAAATGAAACCTCGCAGTAAAGTACAGTTTCTAGGAGTCTTCTACATTCAAACTATTACAAATATTTACAATCAATTCAGACTTAGATCTTTTTTGAACAGGATGTGGCAGGTTTACTCCATGTAACAGTGTAAGAGCTGCAGAGTGAAATCTTACAGAAGCAAAACACAGCTGGCAGCCCAGTGTGTAAGGTAAAACACAGAGGTAATGTTAAGACCAGTTGCTACAGCTGGAAAGACATATGCACATAAGTTTCTTAGAGTCTTCATTATGGACTAATTTTGTTCCTGTCTATACTTCAACCTATTTCAGCTTTTAGAGCTGAGGAGTTCACAAAACTTACATGCATATTTACATGTATGTAAGCGCAAATATTAAATGCATAATAAGCTAAAAACCCCCAATATACAAATTCCTCTGCATCTGCTCTGAACAGTTTTACTTTTCAAACTGCATAATTTGCTAAACTCTTCAGAGATGACATTGTTTTATGACTTCCATGATTAAGTTCCTTTAAAAGAAAAGTGCAAGCAGAAAGTTTTTACTGTTCTAATGTACAGTCTTGAAAAGCTCTTGTGTTACTAATGTCTACTGCTGAATACCCCCAACAGAAGGGAAGGACTGCTGAGAAAAGTTCACTCTTACCTCCCATGCATAGAGTATGTGCCTCAGCCCCAGCTGCTTGTAATCAATGAAGGGATTTTTTCTTAGATGACTGAAGGCCATATGATAGTCAGAGAGAGCCTCTTCGTACCTACAATGCAGAGATGACAGGAAAAACCTGAAACTAAAAAAGCTGAAGACTCTAATTAAAGAAGTTCAGAAATCAAGCTGGCAAAAAAAATGTATTCTCCTCTGTAGATGAAGAGAGCTGCACCAGAGACGTGTGTCATCTTGTAACCACAGAAAATTCCCTGTCCTCGTTGGTAGTTAGAACAAAATGAACATGGTGTGTCTGGGATTATCTGCACAGTTTTACTGATTGGGATGAACAGCAGGTTTTGATACCTGAAATAGAGTCACAGTTCCAAGGAGGAGAAAATGTAAAGAACAGAGATTAACAAATGCTGTGAGCTCCTTGCCCAGCTTGCTGCTGGCAGTTTTGTCCCAGCAGATGTCTCAAGGGAGAAGTGAGGGCTAGGAAACCCCTACTGATGATGAGTGTACATGCATGGTCAGAGCAATTGCGAGCAGAAATTTAGAGAAACTCTAAGGATAAAAGAATTAGTCTGAATTTACACCAGCTATGCAACTGAAATCAAAGCAGGTTCCCACTGAGGCTGCAGGTGAGCTTGGCCAAGAAAAGGTGCCCAGGTGGATGTGGGTGGGTGGGAAGGAGCAGCATCTGATGAGGGAAGGAGCCATGGGGTGCTGGGGGCTGTCACCTCCTCCGGCGGGGGGCAGGTCTCCCAGCTGTGCTGCCCCTGACCTGCTGCACAGCATATGTGCTTGGGGCAGGCTTGCTCCACTTCTGCTAACTGTCACAGTGCTGGGAGCAGAGCAGCGCCAGCTGGGCTCCACCATCCCTGACTGCAGCTCTGCTGGCAGAGGCACAGAGCGTGTAGCCGCTAGACAGGCCATCTCTGAGTGCAGAACTGCTCACTTTAACTCCCTCCCAGAAATAAAGATAGTAATTTTGTGGAAATTAAGACCTGGAAAATATGAGGAAAATAACAGGAAAGAGAATTACTGAACTTTGGAGGTAAGAAAGGACCTGTAAAATCCTCCACTCACCTCTGTGAGCAGGACATCACTGCGATTTAACCCTGGAAACAATGAGTAATCCATCCCATGACACTAGCGGAGCAATCCCCACCTTAAATCAGTGAGATTAAGATCAGGCCCACAAAATCTGCTGTCAGCAGAGAGTGAGAGTCAGGCACTGTGGGCAGCCTGCATTTTTAGGAAGGCCAGGCTCACGTGTGCCATGTGAAGATACACCAAGCAGCGCAATTATATTTTTTTCATTCCCAAAGAAAATCTGAATGGTGACATAACCTCCCGGCAGCCCCGCATACAGGAGCAGCTTCTTTCTCTGTGTGTACAGGACAGTAATGTCATATCTTAGCCGCCCCTGGGGCCCCAGAGTTGTGCAGCTAGTATCTTCTCAGTCTTATCAGAGATAAGACTTGCTGACCTGTGACATGGTTTACAAGGCCAAACTGGACCTTATGAACTGTTTAAGATTGCTGGAAGAAGTGAATTTTAGAATCATAGAATCATTTAGGTTTAGGAATAAAGTACAACTAAAAGGAGAAAACTGAAGACTGAAATGGACATGCGCCTCACATTTCCAGCTGCAGATAGACAAACCCTCTCTGGAAGAAGCCAACGGCTAGGGAGTTGTCCTTCGCAACAGTTTTGTCAAATGCCTAAGGAAAAAAACACAGACACATCCCAAGGATCAGTTAGGATCTCTCCTGTTGAAGCCTGGATGTATGCACCCAGCCAGCCACGTCCAGGCTGCACTTGCACTGGGCACAGAAGCCACCTCTGAGCTCATGACCAGCTCCTCTGGACTGACAGGGCTGTGATCTGCGCTGAGGGGCGGGAGACAGCTCCAAGTCATCTTTCAGGTCTTGGCTCTGTATAAGCTGAGCTTCAGGTTTTTATCCTTCCTTGGGAAAACGGACTGGACATAACAGATGAGATATGTTTGCTGTTCAGCAACTTGTAATGAGAAAACCACGTTGCCTGGAGCAGTTTGCCCTGACAGTGGGAGCAGCAGGACCGGACCAAACAGGGAAGGCTTTTTGAAGCAGCTTATGGTGATGAGTATGCGAAGGAGTGCAAGGGAGAAAGCTGAAAGGCTTCACACTGCACTTACCTGTCAATATTTCTGGTCCAGCTTCCCAGCTAAATACAGGCAAGTATTAGCAAAGCTGGTAGCTGCTCATGGCTGATGGTTCAAAGTAACACTGTGCTGGGAAAAACGTCTTAATGTCTTTCTGAGAAAGCTAGGAGGTATGCTCCTTCACTTAGGATTGCAAAGAAATGGTAGGTAGATAATGAATCAAGCCTGAAACCCCAGACTTTCCTGGTACTGCCTAGACAGGGATAGCGTTACAGGGGTGAAAGTATGTTGCAGGAGGTCAAGGGAGTGACTGTGCCTCTCAACGAGGTGGCGTCTGGCTTCTCCCATGGCTCCGATGGCACACCTTGCTTTAACAGTCTGCTTTACTGTGCTATAAAAGAGAAAAAATAAACAACCAACCGTTGACTTACGTAGAGGCATAGCTGAGGTTCTTCCCAGTCGATGCCCGTTCATCAGCGCTAAAAAGAGGCTCTTGGGCACTGTTGTGCCACGCTCACTGTTGCCCCTTACGGCAATTGCTCTGCCCGGGGCTCCATGGCTCTGCCCCAGCCCTTCCCGCACAGCCTGAGCTTTTCTTACTGCTAATTAATAAACAGCTTAAATGCATCTCCCCACTGGGCAGCTGACAGCCAGCCAGCCAGATGTGCAGACATGCTAGGTGCTGTAATAAAAAGGCTTTTCTTCAGGGCGCTTGCCTGCCTGCACCAGCGCAGGCAGCTGCTCTCCCTTTCCAAAGGGCAGCGGTTTTCCAGCCCAGTGGTTTCTTTTTGGGAGTCTCGACCGCTCGTGCAGGACTGTGCGGGGACACACGCGCCTGCAGGGCCCCTTCTGTCTCCATCACCGCTCGCATTCGTGCTACTGGCTGGACGTGCCGGATACGAAACGCTGGATTCTAATTAGTTTTGAGTTTCAGCATTATTCCCTCAAAAACTGAAAGGGGGAA